CCCCACCTCACCTCCCCTCTGGTCAGAGTGAAATGTAAGATTCTTGATCGAACCCTGAGGCTTCAGCCCAGAACACCAACAGCAGCCGATCCATGAAACTCAAGATTTATTTACAGCTTGAGGTTGAAGGACTCACGTGGTACTAAATGTCACTACATGGTACTTCATGGTACTTCATGGTACTTCATGGTACTACATGGTACTACATGGTCCATGTTCTGTTAGAACTGGGTCGGTAGGCCACACCAGCATCATGGCTGATGTAGAAGAAATGACTGCCACGGCCCTGCAGGGGGCGCACATAACACGAAAGTAGTGAGAGGAGGTCGGACAGACTGGCCTGATGGGCCACATATGTGGTGTAGACAACGTGGAGAGAAAGTTTGGAGGTGGATTTAAATGTTGTCCACATGTCCTGCTTGTCTCCACTGGAGAGACACAGACACCAGGTCTCTGGGCCTTTGTTCAGTGGACGTTGACGCTGCCGTGTCTTTGTCTCCAGTCTCACGGTTCTCCAGCCCACGGCTGACGCCGCGCCTCAGCAGAAAGAGAGCTCTGTCCATCTCCCCTCTGTCCGACGCCAGCATTGACCTGCAGACCATGATCCGGACCTCGCCCAACTCCCTGGTGGCCTACATCAACAACTCCCGCTCCAGCTCGGCCGCCAGCAGCTCCTACGGACACCTGTCCGTGGGAGGGATCAGGTACGAAGGACACCTTCATGGTCATCGTGTATTTTCTCTACAAGTGTCTCTGACTGGACTCACGGTTCTTCTGTCCCACACCCCCACACCCCCCCCCCTGCCCCCCCCCCCACCCCCCCCCCTCTGTCCAGCCCGTCACTGGGGTTCCCACATCCCATCAACCCTGTGGCCTACCAGCAGCTGTTGTCCCAGCAGAGGGGTCTCAATGCGTTTGGACACATGCCCCCCCTCATTCAACCGTCCACGTCATTCTTCTCCGCACGCCAACACCCCCTCGCCACTCCACCCATGACCACGGGCGCCCACAGCAACACCAGCTCTGAGACCAACCAGGTACTGAGTACACGCTGTGTATACGTTGAATAAATCGGGGGGGGCGGGAGCAGAGCTGCCCCCCCCCCTCCTCGGACCATCACTCACTTTGTCTTTTTGACCCTGTCTGTTGGTCAGAATGCCGGTGGTGACCCAGCAGTTAGCAGCACGGTCAACCCACTGACAACCAAGAGGTCAAAGGTCAAGACAGAAGAAGAACCTCAGCTTCCAATCTCACCAAACGCACAGGTAAGATCCTCAGGACAGAAGTCTGAAGTTTTAGAAGTGTGTTTCCTGGTTCAATAAAGAACTGAGTTGAATTCATGGTTGTAGGAAAATTAATTTACATATCTTTTTAGCCCCGCCCCTGAAAACTGTCACAGCAGAGCTGTCAGCAGTGGTGCACATCTGAGTCCACGACCCTGATGTTTATGTTAAATGTTTTTTAAGTGCGGTCTCACTTGAACCCCACCCCCCCTCCTCTAACAGGAGCACCGCGGCGGAGGGATTCTGGACCTGAGCGAGGATCTGGACAAGGACGAGTGTAAGCTAGAACCCGAGGCTGTGTACGAGACCAACTGTCACTGGGACGGCTGCAGCAGGGAGCACGAAACCCAGGACCAACTGGTGCACGTGAGTGTCTGCCTACACACACACACCCCCACCCCACAACTGGGCCGGGTGGTGCAGAGATGGGTCACTTCCTGTGCCTGAGGACCAGTGGTCCAACAGGTCTGGTTCCTCTGGAGGTTCTGTTCACACTGGTCTGGTCTTTTCTGAATTATTTGACCACAGAAATGTCTCACCTGGTCCTGGACCATGGGTCACATTAGTCTTGAGGAGAGCTTTCTTCTTTGCCCCCTCCCCCCCCACTCCTCTGGCCCATGTGGGTTCAGCCCAGTTCCTGTCTGTTGCTTTGCCACGTGCAGCTCTAATGAACCCCCCCGGCTCTGACCAAACTCAACCCATGCCCCCGCAGCTGTGTCCCAATAACCCCTCAGCTTCGACCCCTAACTCCTGACCTTTAACCTCCAGCAGCATCTGTACCCCTGACGCCCAGAGGGCAGCACATAAATCCAGTGTTCTGCCCCCCCGCCCCCCTCCCCACACACACATATATACACACACACTTTCTGGGCAACTTCTTCCTCCAGGTCACGTGTCAGGTCTACAGATGCAGGGGCTGATGGGAGCTGATGGCCAGAGTTAGCTTCATTTAGCTTAGCCACGGGGGCTACAGTACGAAATACTTTAAAGACCTGCCAGGATGGGGGGAGGGGGGGGGGGGAAGGGGGGGGGGGGGGGGGGGGGTCAGTGTGGAGGTGGAGATAAGACCAGGAAGTGACAGAATGTTCTTCCTGATCACTTTTACTACGATGTGAGGAATTTCCTCTTCATGGACCAACACACACACACACACACACACACACACACAGACACACAGAACACCTGAAAAAACACACTCGGCTCTTAAAGCTATTGTCTCCTGTGAACAATTGTATAATAACTGTCAGCCGTGACGGACGGCACCGTCAATCACCCCGAGTGTGCAGCAGCAGATCTTTTTTCAGATCTTCAAACCCTCTTCTCCTTCTTCTTCCTCTGACCTCTGACCTGTCGCCTCAGCACATCAACAACGACCACATCCACGGGGAGAAGAAGGAGTTTGTGTGTCGCTGGGAGGAGTGTTCGCGGGAACAGAAGCCTTTCAAGGCCCAGTACATGCTGGTGGTCCACATGAGGAGGCACACAGGAGAGAAACCACACAAGTGCACAGTAAGTGTCCTCAGTCTGACTGACTGAGTCACTGACTGAGTCACTGACTGAGTCACTGACTGAGTCACTGACTCATTCACTGACTGACTGACTCATTTCTGTGTGTCTGCAGTTTGAAGGCTGCTCCAAAGCTTATTCCCGTCTGGAAAACCTGAAGACACATCTTCGTTCTCACACTGGAGAGAAACCGTATGTTTGTGAGCACGAAGGCTGCAACAAGGCGTTCTCCAACGCCTCAGACCGAGCTAAGCATCAGAACCGCACACACTCCAATGAGGTTTGTGAGGACTCACACACACTCTCTCTCTCTCTCTCTCCCTCCTCAGAGGGGGAGAGTTGACCTTTTAGTCCAGTCCAGTCCAGTCCAGTCCAGTCCAGTGACCTCAGGTTGAGTTCATTTATCTTCTCGGTGTTTTTCCAGAAACCGTACGTCTGTAAGATCCCAGGCTGTACCAAACGATACACAGACCCCAGTTCTCTCAGGAAGCACGTCAAAACCGTGCACGGACCGGAGGCCCACGTCACCAAGAAGCAACGAGGGGACACCCCTTCAAGACAGCAGCCCCCTAGGGGCGATGGGGAGAACGACGCCAACTCCAAACACAGTACCAGAGGCCCTGAAGGCATCACGGAGACCAGCAAGAACTCTACAGGAGTGGACTGTCTTCACAGCCGACCAATCAAGACGGAGACCTCCACGGTGGGTGTCGCTGTAAAAACGAATAATGATAACGATAATTGTTCTTGCGGTGGGTGTCGCTGTAAAAACGAATAACGATAATTGTTCTTTGTCAAAGAAGAGAAATGAATTAGTTATTACTGAGAAGATGAGTTTACTGCACCAGCTGTTTGACCTGAGCAGTGATGATGTCACAGCAGTGATGATGTCACGGAGACAGCAGTGATGTCTCTGTCGCTTCCTCTGTCTTGTCCTTAGGTCAAACGTCAAACCTTCTCTGTTTTATAAACCTGTCATTGACTAACATTGACTCAGAGCTGCTCGATGATTGGATGATAAGTGTTTAAGGTGGAGTTTATCAATTTAAGGTAAAGATAAAATCTAAGGTAGATTTTATCGTTGATCGTTGGTTCCCCAACGTTGACCGTCACTGTCCTTTTCGTCCGACTTCTTAACGACCTTCCTAACCTCTGTGAATCCTCCAGTCATTGTCTCCTGTCTGTTTTCTTCCATCCTTCCTGACGGACAGACGTCCCTGAGGTGAGCTCAGTCAGTGTGTTAGCACGTTCCTGCATGATAACCAGTGTTTGCATGGCTCGTTCTTCATGTGGACTGTGAAGACGGCAGCAGTGTCTGTTTTTGGGGTCACTGGCAGCGGCAGCCTGCAGTGGGCTGATGATGAAAGTCACAGTCGGATGAATATTCACAGGCTGAGACTGTTGGAGCTGCACTGAACAAACAGAGCCAACATCAAGCTGTGATCAAGACACTGGTACACTTTAGAACGGTTCCACACACAACTCCATCCCTCTTCCTCTTTTTTTTTTTTTTTTTCTACTTGTAAATAAGTCAAGTCCATGTATTAATGATGAGACGATAGAGAGACGTTTGTGTCGTAGTTTGTACAGAACACCATCGTCGACGTAGAGTGTTAATCTGATGATGACAGAGCAGAGGTCACCTGACTTCTGATCATTGTTCTCTACATCGGTTCAAACGGTCAGTCAGTGAATCAGTGTCAGCAGTCGTTCTTACCCCCCCCCCCCCCACTGTCCTCCCGCAGACGTATCAGTCCAGCCCTGGCGACCGTTCATCATGTAGCAGCGAGCCGTCACCTCTCAGCGCCGCCAACGACCACGACATTGGCGTAGAGATGGCCGTGCACGGCAGTGGCGGCGGCGGCGGCTTCGGGGACGTGAGTGAACAAGAGGAGTGGCCAATGGTGGACTCCACCGTTCCCCTGGGCGGGGTGGGGGTGCAGTCCAGGAAAGCTGCCGGGGTCACCATCAGGCTGGAGAACATTAAAAAGGAACGACTGAAGACGGTGAGGGACCCCTGTCCCTGGGTCAACCCTGCAACAGCGCCACCACAAGGCCAACACCACAACATCAAGCTGCCGCCCATATCTGCAGGGGGTGAGTGTCTCTCTATAATCTGTCTCTCTATATATAATCTGTCTCTCTATAATCTGTGTCTCTATAATCTGTCCCACAGGTCCCCACCTGGACAGCTCTCACCTGGTCAGCAGTTTACCTCCTGGTCAGCCATGTTCTGACCAGTCTTCTTGTGAGGTCACTTTACTGAACCAGCTGAACCAGAGGCGGACCAGCACCACCAGCACCAGCAGCTCAGCCTACACCTTGAGCCGCCGCTCCTCCGGTATCTCGCCGTGCTACTCCAGCCGCCGCTCCAGTGAGGCGTCCCAGTTTGGCACCGGCCGCCACAACAACAACATCAGCTCAGCGGACTCCTACGACCCCATCTCCACGGATCTGTCCCGGCGCTCCAGTGAGGCCAGCCAGGGTGGAGGGGGTGGTGTCGGTGGGGGTGGAGGAGGCCTCCCGAGCATCCTCAGTCTCACACCCGCTCAACATTATCGCCTCAAAGCTAAGTACGCCGCTGCCACAGGCGGGGCCCCGCCTACTCCGTTGCCCAAAATGAATCAAATGAACCTTCG